GGAAGAGAGCCAGTGGGTGGAAGATCTTTTTCCCTGTCTTTAAATGTGTCTTTTCAATAAAAATATATAAATCTTTTTTAAAAAACTGAATTATAAGTCTTTGACATAAAAAAAAATTAAGATTTGAGTCAGAGGAAGTGTGAGACCGACAGATCTGTTGGCTCACTCCCCAAATGGCTGTAATAGCTAAAGCTGTGCTGGTTCGAAGCCTGGAACCAGGAGCCTCTACCAGGTCTCCCACATAAGTTTAGAGATCCAAAGCCTTTGGCCATCCTCTGCTGCCTTCCCAGAATATAAGCAAGGAGCTAGATGGGAAGTGGAAAAGCTGAACTTAAATCAGATCCCATATGAGATGCCAGCACTAACAGGCAGAGGATTAGCCTATCATAACACTGTCTCAGTCTCTGAGTCTGTAACCTTCTGAAGTCACATTTTTATAAAATTTTGGTAAGAACTGGGGCCCAGTGTGATGGCTCAGTGGTTAAATTCTTACTTTACACACACCAGAATCCCATATGGGCACCAGATCATATCCCAGCTGCTCCACTTAACATCTAGCTCCCTGCTTGTGGCCTGGGAAAACAGTGCGGGATGGCTCAAAGCCTTGGTACCCTGCACCCATGTGGGATAGTTGTAGAAGTTCCTGGTTTCAGAATGGCTCAGCTCCAGCTATTGCAGCCATTTGGGGATGGAACCAAAGGATGCAATCAGAGGATGGAAGATCTTTTTGTCTATATCTCCTTCTCTCTATAAATCTGACTTTCCACTAAAAATAAAATTAAAAAAAAAAAAAAGAGCAAGAGAGAACAAACTGTCCCCTTGTCAGACCCTTTGATTTCTTATTTCCTGGTCCTAAACAAACGTCCCCTTCATTGCAAAATTCAATTGTGTAGCTGCTTTCAGTTTCTTTCAGCTATGGAAAAACAAAACAAAACAAAAAAACAACAGGCTTTATTGTTTAGGCTCTGTTTCATCTTTACCCCTCTCTTTCTTTGTGTTTTTACCATGTAAGTGTTGCAGTTTTGTTCCTAAATTGCATTCACGTGCTAAAGATATTCTAAAGCCTGAGGTTTGGGAGAGGAGCTCCATTCCTGGCCAGCTGATTAGGCCAACCATGTTTGTCCTTGGTCCCTCTTCCCTGGAATTTGAACTTGGTAAGGCTGAGAGTGCTGCATTGGTATGAGCCTTGCTCTATGCTGGGCCCTTGCTATCTGAAATATCTAAGTGCAAATCTGGAGATCCTACGTGCCAGCTGGAGTTCTCCACACAGGAAAAGGAGGCTTACATAAGACTGGCAAAATCCTTGACTCCCAAACCATGCCAGGAAGAAACTATGCATGCATGCTCACACTTCTAAGATGGCTAAAATAAAAAGGCACTGCAAGCAAACCCTGAGAAGTTGGGAATTACACACCTTCATCCCTTCCACAGTTCATGTCAGGAATAATGTAACTAGGGACTACAAAAAAAATGGCCCTGCTAAAAACCTAGGCTATAAAGATATTCAATGGACAGAATTGAAGCCTTTCCCTGTGGAATTGTTGGAAAGACACTCCCAGGAAAAATAGTGACAGCCAAGGTTCAGCAAGACCGACACAGAACGACCCATAGAGACTGCTGTGTAAGTAAATAAGATTGGAAACTGCATTGGAAATGGTCCCAAGAACATCATTCCCACTCGGCCTTCACGTCACCATCTATTAAAAGTTACAATGTGAAAAAAAAAATTAAAACAATGCAGTGACGCAAAGATAATATGGGCACTTGCCATGACCACACTCCATCCTGTCACTTCTCATGTGTGGTTGCCAGTAACTCCTTCCTGATGTCACATGCATGACTGAACCAAAGCTTGATGGGCAAGATATACTTCAGACAAGACTTCACAGGGGGGCCATGGTACGATGGCCTAGCAGCTAAAGACCTCACCTTGAACAGTCCGGGATCCTAGTCCGTGATGGTTCTAATCCCAGCAGCCCCAGCTTCCCATCCAGCTCCCAGCTTGTGGACTGTGAAAGCAGTTGAGGACGGCCCAAAGTCTTGGGACTCTGCACCCACATGGGAGACCTGGAAGAAGTTCAGGGTTGCTGGCTTTAGATTGGCGGCCGCTGCGCTCACTTGGGAAGTGAATCATTGGATGGAAGATATTCCTCTCTATATATCTGCCTTTGCAATAAAAATTAATAAATCTTTAAAAAAAAAAAAAGACTTCATAAGGGGAGACTGGGAGAGTTAAAACACTGCCTTATTGCCAGTTTGTGTTCCAGCTGCTCCACTTCCCATCCAGCTCCCTGCTTGTGGCCTGGGAGAGCAGTAGAGGATGGCTTAAAGCCTTGGGACCCTGCACCCGCGTGGGAAACTTGGAAGCTCCTGGCTTCAGATCAGCTCAACTCCAGCTGTTGCAACCAGTTAAGAGTGAGCCAGCAGATGGAAGACCTTTCTCTGTATCTCCTTCTCTCTACAAAACTGCTTTTCCAGTTTTCTACAAAACTGTTTATATCGCAAGGTCAAATATACAGAGAGGAGGAGAGACAGAGAGAAAGATCTTCTGTCTGATGATTCACTCCCCAAGTGACTGCAATGGATGGTGCTGTGCCCATACCTGAGCCAGGAGCCAGGAACTTCTAACAGGTGTCCCACGCAGGTGCAGAGTCCCAAGATTTTGGGCTGTCCTCAACTGCTTCCCCAGGCCACAAGCAGGGAGCTGGATAGGAAGTAGAGCTGTGGGGATTAGAACAGGTGCTCATATGGGATCCTGGCATGTTCAAGGCAAGGACTTTAGCCACTGGGCCACGGTGCCAAGCCCTAAAAATAAATCTTTAAAACAAAACAAAAACACAACAAAACTTGGCCCAGCATGTTAGCCTAGTGGCTAAACTCCTTGCCTTGAACACGCTGGGATCCCATATGGGTGCCAGTTCTAATCCCTGATTGTGGTCTGGGAAAGCAGTCGAAGACGGCCCAAAGCCCTGGGATCCTGCACACAGGTAGGAGACCCTGAAGAGGCTCTTGGCTCCTGGTTTCAGATTAGCTCAGCTCTGGCTGTTGTACCCACTTGGGGAGTGAATCAAGGGACAGAAGATCTTTCTCTCTGTCTTGCCTTCTTTCTGTGTATCTTCTTTCCAATAAAAATAAATCTTAAAAAAAGAAAAAAACATATATACACATACATTCATGTTTTCTAAAAAAACAAAAAAGAAAAACAAAAACCAAAATACTACCTCAAGTGGGAGACAGAACAAACTAGGGGCAGAAGTTAAAGGTTACAGGGGGGGGGCTGGGAAATGGTAACAGAGCATCTTCCCTTCCCAGTCAACTCCGCCATCCACGCCCGAGTCAGTGACTGCACTGGGCAAGTTAGGCATAAGCTCCTGCCACGGGCCCCCTCCCCAGAGCGGGTAATGATGGAAAATAGCATTTGGAGTGGGAATAAACAGCAGATAATAACCCATAATTGTTTTTAAATCTTGAGGATGAGTCACCCTGAATTTATTTCCAAATTTCTTGTGTCATCAGCTGTTCATTTCTTTACTTTGCAAATCACCAGATTAACACTGCCAAAGGCAGGTAGGAAATGGTCCAAAAGGACAGTTCGGATACCATATGGTGAGTGGCTAAGAAACCAGGGACAAAACAAGTCTGAGGAAAGTGTCTTTTTTGTCCTTGCAAAGGCACCAATGTGTGAACCTAATTCACACTTTCATTATTCAATCAAGTTATTTTTATATCAGTGTCATTTTAGGGCATGACTTGCCAGGGAATTATTTATTTCCTGGGAAATTTGTCCATCACTGCATACTAGATATGTAATTTCTAACCCCAGAATTCATTCAAATTCAGAAATCACATTCCTTTTACCTCTTCTTTCTGAAACTTTCACATGTCTATTTCGTTTAACAAATCTTCTTTCCACATAAAAAATTGGAATGACCACGTCAGCATCCTAACCTCACATAGATACAGATGAGCAATTGAAGTCTGGGGAACTCTTTCCCCGAAATCTATTAGGGTCTTTATGTTCTCTGTAAAGTGTAAGTTTGCTAATTTATCCATTTTTGAATTGTAATGTTGAAGCTGATTTGGTTCTTCAGCACATTTAGGCTCTAACTCTGACTCAGGTTTGGAAACAGAGTACTGGATGCTCCCTCTAGGAACTCAGTCCACAGCACAGCACAGCACAGTCCTGGATGGTGCCCCCAGCCCTCAGCCTGCCCTGCACGGCCTCTCACAACCCAAGCCTGGGCTGTGCATCAGGCCCGGAGGTTAAGATGGCTGCCTTCCATGTCAGAGAACCCGAGTCCCATCCCTGGCTTTGGCTACTGAGCCCAACCAATGGGGCCCCTGGGAGGCAGTGATGCTGGTTCAAGTAATTGCCTTCCTGTACCTGCACATGGGAGACCTTGGTGGAGTCTCCAGTCCCCGGCTTTGGCCCAGCATAGTTCCAGCTGTGGCAGGCCTTCTGAGAAATGAGTCAGCAAATAGGAGTGTTTCTGTGCCTTGCAAATACTTATTTAAAAAATTGATTTTCATGCCCGGTGTGGTGGTCTAGCAGCTAAGGTCCTCGCCTTGAACGTGCTGGGATCCCATATGGGCACCGGTTCTAATCCCGGCTGCTCCACTTCCCATCCAGCTCCCTGCTTGTGGCCTGGGAAAGCAGTCAAGGACGACCCAAAGCCTTGGGACTCTGCACCCATGTGGGAGACCGTGAAGAGGTTACTGGATCCTGGCTCAGGTATGGGCATAGCACTGGCTGTTGTGCTCACTTGGGGAGTGAATCATCGGACAGAAGATCTTCCTCTCTATCTCTCCTCCTTTCTGTATATCTGACTTCATAATAAAAATAAATCTTTTTAAAAAAATTGATTTTTCAAACATAGAGCTGCCAACCCAAATTCGTAGCCACTGCCTTATTTCAGAAGTCCATTTTCTAACAAATCCATGAAGTGTAAAAAGTAAAACATATGAAAATTAGGTCAAATAAATAATTGAAACTAAAAAAGTATTTGGGCTATTTTATATTTTCCTTTTTTCTATGACTTGGCTAGCACAACTCTCAATGTTGGCAACCAGTGAGCTTTCAAAGGACGGGGGATTGATGTGGAGTTGACTGGATGGTAGGGGACTCCTGTCTTGCTTTTCAATTAACTTATCTGCAAATGACTCAGTATAACTTGGCACAGGGCCAACCCTTCCAAAATACAGATTAGATGTCAACTTGTGACAGCCGTCTGTATGCTCAGGCATGTTAGGTGGTGGTGGCACTGCCTAGGAGAGGGTGGCGATGGGGCAACTTGTCACAACTCCTTCTCAAAAGTCTCACTCATCCTGACTTGCCACCACGTTAGCTAAAATGAGCAAGCATCAGCTCGTGACGGACACGGTCAGCCTCTAAGTCCAGCGACTCCATGTGCTCAAACTCCTCCTCGGGGGGCTGCTCGGTGGGTCCCGCTGTGGGAGAGGACCAAATGTCCATGCCATGCTCCAAGGAGATGTTATGGAGGACACAGCAAGCCAAGATGATGTGACTGGATTTCTCTGGAGAGTACTGCAGGGCCCCCTTGGATCCGTCCAGACAGCGGAACCGGGAGCAGAGGGTTCGGAAGGTCTTCTCCACCACATTGTGAGTTGCAGAATGGGCCATGTTGTAGCGATACTCGGCCGGCGTTTCCGGGATGTGGAGCGGGGTCATGAGCCAGGTGCAGAGTGAGAAGGAGCTGTCACCTGTGGGCGAAAGCCCAAGTAAGTCACACGTGATGACGAGTGGGAAACAAACAAGGAGTGGTATTTAGAAACACATACTTAAGGTGACATTTAAAAAACAAATACAAGAAAATGCAATGACTTCTAGAACCAAATGACACAGAAAATTACCAGGATACACTTGCTGGGGCAAAAGCAAGCCTGATTTCTAGCAGGAAATCCTGAGTCTTGGTTAGGAAAAGCCTTTGTTCCTGGCTTCAGTCTGACCCCGTCCTGTCTGTTACAGGCCTGTGGTGAAGGAACCAGCAGATGGGAGATCTCATTCTCACTCTGTCTCTGTCCCTTTCTGTTTCTCTGCCTTTCAAAATAACAGAGAGAAAAATAGAACTTAAAAATAAAACAGGGTCTGGTGCGGTAGTCTAATGGCTATCTGAGTTTCCAATAAAAATAAAATAAATCTAAGAAGGGCCTCTCCCAGTCGACCCTGCCCTATAGCTGCAGCGTCCCCACCTGGCCAAAGCCGATGGCCGACGATGTGAAGGAACAGATTTATAAACTGGCCACAAAGGGCCTGACTCCCTCCTAGATGAGTGTGATGCCGAGGGACTCCCACGGCGTCGCTCAGGTGCGTTTCATGACAGGCAATAGGATCTTGAGGCTCCAGAAGTCCAAAGGCCTGGGTCCTGATCGCCCTGAGGAGCTCCATTATTTAACTAAGAAAGCCACTGCTGGGCGGAAGCACCTCGCACGGGACACAAAGGATGCCAAACTCTGATTCTGACAGAGAGCTGCATTCACTGGCTGGCTCAACACCACAAGACTAAGCAGGTCCTCCCCGCAAGTGGAAATACGAGTCATCCACAGCCTCTGCCGTGGTGGCATACATTTGATTCTGTACTCAAGCAATAAAATCATTGTTAAAAATAAAATAAATCTTTAAACAAACCTAGAATTTCAGGATTCAAAACATTACTTAGAGACTTCACAGAGTATTTCACGAATAATAATAATTTATCTCCAGGGCTCAGAACACTAAAGCCCGAGCACGTATGGGAACGACCAGGACTCAGCTGTTCTGCCTTCACTAGACCACACATTTTGTATTAGACGGACTAGAAAAGTTTCACACTACTAAGGGGAACATGAATACAAGGAGACAAATTCGAATAGACGGTGATAAGGAATAAAGTCATGATTCCACTAAAATAACACACACTACTCACCTTAAGTGACTTCCTTGTAATGAGCCCAGGAAGTGTTAACAAACAGCACTGGGGTGTAGTGACCCAAAGCCACAGCACAATGCTTCTATAATGTTTAATTGTCCTGACTCACCATGTCTGGCAGATGCAATGTCTCACACAGAGGCACCAGTGCTTAGAAATCTGAGACAATCAGGCTCTGGAGCACCACCATGTCCAATCCCTGTGCTTCTGACCACCCTCCATTTTGGCAAATAGTTCCAGACTGTTCGGACAGTCTAGGCACTGGAGCAAACATATGTGATTCCGTTCTTTTAGGAGCTTGCATTTCAGAAACTAGATTAGCTGTAAATAACTAAGAAGTCTCAGAAAACTTTCAAGATTTATATTTAACTGACTTTTTTTTTCTTCTAAGTATAAGCTGTCCTTTTAATTGAACTCATCCCAACTAAAAACTGAATTTAGGAAGCTGATGCTGTAAACACTAGGAAAAATGATAGCGATGATTCATCGAGCACCTACTATGGTAAGGAACTGTGCTAGCACTTCCAAAATAATCTCTCCTATTATCCAATCCCAGCTCTGCCAAGTGAGATATGGAACTCACTTTGCAGATGAGAGGATCAGAATGTATGTCAGCCTCAAGTTTCAGAAAGCAGGCGAAGGAAGCCGATTAGTCACTGCATGATATGTCAGACTCGCAGTCATAAAATAATTGTGCAAGGCTGTAAATAATATGGTAAACAGCTAAGAGGAAGGCCAGACATGGAAATACTGTGTGCCTGTGAAAGCCTTCCTGAGAAACGGCAGGAGCTTGTGCTGGGGAGAGACATGCAGGGACCAGCCAGCGGAGGGACAGGCTTCTCGTGAAATCAGCTGGTCGCCAGCCAAGCGCGGGAGGGAAGCAGCCCAGGGAGGCGGGTAGGAATTGGGATCAGAATTGCTAAACAGATTACCACTGCTTTTATGATCACTGAGCCACAGACATTCTGGCAGATCTTACCCGAAGCAGCTTAACAGGACCAAGCCAAGAGCTCAAGAACTAAAAAAACAAAATAAAAACAAAAAACAAAAAAAACCAAACTCGCCCTAGAATAAATGTTTACAAGAGCAGGGATAGCTAGAAGGGAAGTTAGGTAATGCCATCTGAAGGGATGGAGAGATGAGAGTAAGAATAGGAAGTTGGAAATAAGCTACAAATAAACCAACAAAATGAGGGATCACTGTTCAAGACTTGACAAAATGAACTATTTGAGCCAGACTTGTGGCATAGTCAGTTAAGCTGCCACCTGCAATGCATCCCATATGGGCACTAGTTAGAGTACTGGTTACTCTACTATGAGCCTGGGAAAGCAGTGGAAGATGACCCAAATGCTTAGACCCCTTCACCTATGTCCAAGGCCTGGAAGAAGCTCCAAGCTCCTGGCTTCAGCCTGGCATAGCACGAGCCATTGGGTCATTTGGACAGCAAGCTAGTAGATAGATGATCTCTCTCTAACTCTACCTTCCAAATAAATAAACAAATCTCTTAAAAAAAAAAAAAAAACCTAGAACTGTTTGGATTCAGAATGATGCCCTAGCAGCTAAAGTCCTCACCTTGAACGTGCTGGGATCCCATATGGGCACCGGTTCTAATCCCAGCAGCTCCACTTCCCATCCAGCACCCTGCTTGTGGCCTGGGAAAGCCTTGGGACCCTATACCCATGTGGGAGACCTGGAGGAGGTTCCTGGCTCCTGGCTCTGGATTGCCACAGCACTGGCTGTTGCGCTCATTTGGGGCGTGAATCATCGGATGGAAGATCTTCCTCTCTGTGTCTCCTCCTCTCTGTATATCTGACTTTGTAATAAAAATAAATAAAATCTTTAAAAAAAACACTAGAACTGTTCCATATATCAGATGATGTTTCTAAGATATAATTAATGGAGGTTGACAGTGTGGTATAGTGGGTAAGGCTGCTGCCTCTGATGCTGCCATCACATAAGGGTGCTGGTTTGAATTTTGGGTGCTCCTCCTCCAATTCAGCTCCCTGCTAAACACACCTGGAAAGCAGTTAAAGTTGACCCAAGTGCTTGGGCCCCCTGCCACCCATGTGGGAGACCAAGAAGAAGTTCCTGTCTCTTGGCTGTGGCTGGTTCAGCCCTGGCCATTATGGCCACTCAGGGAGTGAACTAGCAGACTGAAGATCCCTATCTCTCTCTGTAACTATAACTTTTAATATAAAATTTAAAAATTTAAAGGATACAATGAGAAGCCTCAGTGCAATGGCTCAGCGGCTAAATCCTCACCTTGCATGTTCCAGGATCCCATATGGATGCCGGTCCTGGCTGCTCCACTTTCCATTCAGTTCCCTACTTGTGACCTGAGAAAGCAGTAGAAAGCCTTGGGACCCCCATCTGCATGAGAGACAAGGAGGAAACCCTTGCTCCTGGCTTTGGACTGCCTCAGCACTGGGTGTTGTGAACAAGTGGAAAGATTTGTCTCTCCTTTCTGGAAACCTGTCTTTCCAATAAATGTACATAAACTTAAAAAAAAAATTACCTATATGACTCTTTCACCTTAAAAATAACTGCAAATGACACCAATCAGAGATCTTCACACTGGCTTTCTTGTTAGAACTCAGATAGACCTAAGAGGTTCACACTATAACAAAGGGTGCTAGGGGACTCAACTTCCAGGGACATAGCCTCCTGACTTAGGTAGGAGGTTGCATATCATCCAAAATGAAAACTAGCCTCACTCAACATTTGTTACACATTGTTGCAACTGCCATCTCCCGCCCCCCCACCCCCCGTTTCCACTGTATTCATAGAGAAGAGAATTAGAAAAGCACAAAAGGGCCGGGCACATAGCACAGTGACTAAATCCTCTCCTTGCACGCGCCGGCATCCTAAACGGGTACCAGTTTGTCTCCCACCTGCTCCACTTCCCATACAGCTTCCTGCTTGTGGCCTGGAAAAGCAGTAAAGAATGGACCAAAACCTTGGGACCCTGCACCTGCATAGGAGACCGAGAAGCTGCTCCTGGCTCCTGGCTTTGGATTGGCTCAGCTCTAGCTACTGCTGGCGACTGTGGCCCCTTAGGGGAGTGAACCAGTAGATAGAAGCTGCTTTTCTCTGTATCTCCTTCGCTTTGTAGATCTGCCTTTCCAATAAAAGAAATAAAGTTTTTCTTTTTTAAAAAATATTTATTTTTATTGGAAAGGCGGATCTACAGAGAGGAGAGACAGAGAGGAAGATCTTCTGTCCGATGGTTCACTCCTCAAGAGGCCACAACGGCTGGAGCTCCTCTCTGTATATCTAACTTTGTAATAAAAATAAATAAATCTTAAAAAAAATTTTTATTGGAAAGTCAGATATAGAGAGGAGGAGAGACAGAGAGGAAGAACCGCCGTCCAATGATTCACTCCCAAAGCGACCACAAAGGCTGGAGCTGCACCAATTCGAAGCCAAGAGCCAGGAACTTCCTCCAGGTCTCCCACACAGGTGCAGGGTCCCAAGGCTTTGGGCAATCCCCAACCGCCTTCCCAGGCCACAAGCAAGGAGCTAGATACGAAGTAGGGCCACCAGGATTAGAACCAGTGCCATATGGGATCCCAGTGCATTCAAGACGAGGACCCTAGCTGCTAGGCTACCACATTGGGCCCTAGACTTTTTGTTTTTTTAATTTATTTCAGTCAGATAAATACAGGAAAGACAGAGAGGAAGATCTTGGTTTGTTGATTCACTTCCCAATTGGCAACAGCTGGAGCTGATAGGCTGCCTTTATAGTCAGGGTACCAAACTGTGAAGATCCACGGAGCAATCAGCTGGGACCCAGGTATTCGGATAGCTATTGAAGCAAACACTGCGGGTGGGTGTTACGGCACAGTGGGTAACTCTGTCACCTGCCAATGATGCTATTAGATACAGGAGCAATGGTTCTTGTTCCAGCTGATCCACTTCTGACTCAGTTCTTTATTTGTGGCCTGGGAGGGTAACGGAGGATGGATGAAGTCCTTGGGTCCCTGCACCCATGTGGGAGAGCCAGAAGAAGCTCCTGGCTTTGGATTGGCTCAGCTCTGGCCACTGCAGCCATTTCAGGAGTGAACCAGTGGATAGAAGGTCTCTCTGCCTCTTCAATAAAAGTAAGTAAATATTAAAAAATAAACAGTTCAAAATAAATTTAAAAAAATAAAGTACATGACAGGATGACATGTAGAGAAATGGTAAACATCAGTATGGTCCAAGGTATGACACAGGGCACTCTGGTGGCAATCTCTAACCAGTCGTACCAGTTCCTGGAAGGATGTTAAATGTTTTCTGAGCATCTACTACAGGCTAAACTCTATGCCATATGCTGCTGTACTGCAGAAATGATCAGTGGCCTGCAAAGAAAGGACTTCTAATGCCTTCATGCATCTTTCATCTGTCATGTCCAATTATTTATAACACGTTGTGCCTCACATGAAGAATAGCAATCTTGCAAACAAACCTCCCAGGCTCCAGGGGTTTACCACTGACAACTAAATTTCTCACAGCTGTATGGTCCACCTTACATGAACCGGCCTCTTGTCCTATCCACATCACTAAAGCCACACTGTCTAACAGGACTTGGGAGAAACAGGTGAAGTGAATTTCTACAAGAAGAATCATTCCAGGCAGCGTTTACTCTTACTTGCAAATAGGAATCATTTTTTTTTAAGATATATTATTATTATTATTGCAAAGTGAGATATACAGAGAGGAGGCGAGACAAAGAGGATTATGAACCGCGCGCCCATAGGGATCCCGCTGTGTTGAAGGTGACTGCCTTAGCTGCTAGGCCACTATGCTGGGCCCTAGGAATCTTTTTTTTTTTTTTGATAGAGGCGGTATATACTTAGAGTAGAATTTTTGTGTTATTTTTTTCCTTCTTTGTTTTCAGATGGGGAGCTTTGTAGAACTACAGACGGTGGGGATCCCCAAGAGATTTTAGAAATATCCCCTAGTTGGTGTGGGAGCCTTGCCGAGGTCATTCAAGAAGCAACTCTACAAGCCAGGATGTTGGGAAGAACATGGACAGCTCATGCCCAGAGTCAGGAGGGAGGGCAGAAGGCGACAGTGACGTGGGGAGGCAGGAAGGTCCACACGCTGTGGGGGCCCACAGACTTCATCCATGCTCTGCTGCTTTCCCAGGTGCATCAGCAGGGAGTGGGATTGGAAATGGAGCGTCCAGACCTCAAACTGGTGCCCAAATGGGATGCTGGCACTATAGGCCGTAGCTTTGCATACTACATTACAAAGCCAGCACTTGTTGATGTTATTTTCAGATGATATAAATTAGTCTCAAAAACAAACAAACAACAACAACCAAAAAAAACAAAAACCAAACCAAACCAAACCAAACCATTTTCTTTAAGTCTCAGGAGTTGTTGTGCACATTAAGCTGGACCTTGGGGCACCTACATGCCATTCTGGCATGCCAGTTCATGTCCTGGCTACTCCACTTAACCAAATCCAGCTTCTTGCTATTGCATGGGGGAAGCAGAAGAGGACAGACTAAGGACTTGGGCTCCCGTCAGCCATCTGGGAGACTGCCGTGGGATTCCAGGCTCCTGGCTTTAGCCTGACCAGGCCTGAATATTGGACATATTTCGGGAGGAAACTAGGAGATGGAAGATCTGTTTAACTCTCCCTGTCTGTCATTCTGTCTTTGAAGAAATCATATAAGGCTTTCAGGAAAAACTGAGGTTCAATTGTATGTAGGTCCTATATTTAACCAGTTCTGTAGTTTTGGCTGTATTTACGGAGACTGTTTTTGCCTTTATGGTCTTGAACCATGCTGCACTTCTTTCCCAGGCCACAAGCAGGGAGCTGGATGGGAAGTGGGGCAGCCCGGACATGAACTGGTGACCATATGGGATGTCGGCGCTTGTAAGGTGAGGATTTAGCCATTGAATCATCTAATGCAAATTCCTATATGTGATTTTATTTTGTACATTTATACACATATATACTTCTAAGAAATTCCAAGAAGTGGGTTCAAATAACGATGTTTCCAAGTTTTAACAAGTGGTTTTTAAAAGCTGCCGTCTCATAAATTAAGACTCACAGAGCTCTCACAAGGGATCCCACAAGAAAGTGAAAGGCGGGGCAGGTGTGTGGTGTAGTGGGTTGGGGTACCATTTACTGTGCTGGAACCCCATATGGGTACCAGTTAAAGTCCTGAGTGTTTGGCTCCCTGCTGACGTGCATGAAAACCAAGGGAAGATTGTTGGAATCCTTGGGCCTTTGTATCCATGTGGGAGACCCAGGTGAAGCTCTTGGTTCCTGCCTGGATGTTGTAGCTATTTGGAGAATGAATTCACATATGGAAGCTCTCTATTGCTGTCTCTCCCTCTCTCAATGGCTTGTCTGCCTTTTGAATAAATAAAATAATATGGAGAGAAGAAAAAAAAGTGGAAGCATTGAGACAACTGTATTCCAGACTGCCCTGTGACTTTTCTACAGCTACATCGGAGGAATGCCTGCCGACTTACCAAGCAGCCAGCTATCTTTGGGCATCCCAGCTTTAAAAAGAGTATTCAGTGAAGACTGCTGCAGCACAGCGTGGTCCTGCAAACTGCCGGGCCAGTTGGTCTCCACGGTCATCAGTGCCCCTCTGACGTCACACACTATCAGGCAGTTTAAAGAGTGCAGGCCTTTGCGGTTCACGTAGGAGAGGTCTTCAGCATTGGGGGCCTTGATGGCCACATGCAGACAGTCCACTACCCCTAGGACACCTGGCATCCCTGCCAAGCCATAGAACTCATCCTTCAGGGCTTGCATGGATTGTTCATCCGCCGGGAAGTGGATGAACTGCGAGGCCCTCTCCACCAGCGCCTCTGTGACATTGGCCACGCAGCGACTCATGGAGGCCTGACTGATTCCAATAGCGTCTCCCATTCGAGTCTGGAAGGAACCTGAGGTGTAAAAGCCCAGGGCTGCAAGGATCTGGGTCTCTGGGCTAATAGCCCGGGATCGCTGAGTTGGTCTAGAAAGACTGGCTCCCAAGAGCTCCACGAGGTAGTAGATGAACTGCCGAGGAAAGCCGTACATGGACAGCAGGTATTCGTCCGTCACATCATCCAGCTTGAAACGGTCCAACGTCCGGTGGCCTCGGCCGTACAGCAGCAGGTCACAGTCAAGCACTGTGATGGGTATAGCCATGGTACACCTGAGTGGGGTTTCTCCTCTCTGCTACTTTTCTGCAGGCAGGGGTTGCTACCAGAAAGTACTGAAGCTAGTTAGACATCAGTTAAATGATTTTGGCATGTATAAGCTTCTTTCTGTAAAGGTTAAAAAAATAAAAACACATTAGATGTCTACACAAGATATTCCAAGGACTCAAAAGCACTCTGAAAGACACTCTCCACTGCTTTTGGGCAAAAGGCATCGTATTTCTTAGGATTTTCTACATTAACTCGTGGCTGCCTAACAGGCTCGCTCCGGTTTACACAATAATGGGAATTGTTGTCGGTGGCTCACTGAATGGCTAGCATTTCAATTGTGGACAGAATGGACCTGGTGGTATAATTAATTATTCACAACATCAAAAAGACCTGATCCTGGATAGCCAGGATGATAACCTAAGGGGCGGGGAGTTTGGGAGCTCAAACCAGTCTGACAAGGGACTAGGACGAGGAGGAGGCAAAAAACAAAACGCAACCAGATCCTGACCCCGCCTGGCGGACAGCCATTGCCCGCCATAAACACTTTAAAAAAATTTTTTTATTCCAGTTTATCCAAATCGTAAAGCTGCGGTCTAAGAAGTAGGGAAGTTAGAAGCAAAAAGAAGAGCGATTGGGGGTCGCTTCTCTGCCACTTGGAAACGGCGTCTGAAACACACTGATCCAAGTGCGGCGGACACAGGACGCCCACCGTGGCCGCTCACCCACCTGTCCGCGGCTGCAGTCACATCCATCCGCCCTCCCGCCAGCCCCTCCGCCCCGCCAGCCCCGCCAGCCCCGCCAGCCCCGCCAGCCCCGCCAGCCCCGCCAGCCCCGCCAGCCCCGCCAGCCCCGCCAGCCCCGCCAGCCCCGCCAGCCCAGCCGCGGTCCGCTAAGGTTCGAGAAGCGCCCACCGGAGCACAGGCCGCCCTGCGCGCAGCACGGCCCCGCCCCCTCCACGTCAGCGCCCTCCCCTCGCCGCGTCCACAACTGCTGCGACCTGCGCTTCGCCGCCGCACATTCCACACACGGCCCCATCGGCTTTACTCCTTCGAACACCTCTTCTTTTCCCTTGAGACGCTCGGAAATTTGGGCGAGATGGAGTGATACGGAATTTGAATTACGTTTAGAGCGATGTTCAGGGAGAAAACGACGAAAATAAGGCATCCGTGCTGTAAAGAAAGTGCGGCTGAGTTTAGTCGGTTGGATTTCCCCCATAGGCCTCTTCCTAACCCCCCAGCGCCCCCCGCCTCCAGCGAAGCGGATGAAAACAAACAGTAACGATGGCGGCGCCGGCAGAGGATCCGTTGCTGGGCTTGAGGCAGGAGTTGATGGCCTGATTGGCAACGGGAGCCCTGAGCAGCGCCAGTCGAATCGGGTGCGACGATTCGCGCGGTGCCGGGGACGAAACTCTCTGAGCCTTCGAGCCGGCAGCTTCTGAGGGCGTGAGGGAGCTGTGACCCGTTCCGAGCGCGGAACCCCCAGCCAGGACGCGCGGCTGGCCGGCCCTCAGGCCCCGGCCTCCCCCGGAATGAGAGTCCCGAGCCACTGTCTGGGCGGCAGCTTGGCAGGTACCAACTTCGGGGTGCGAGGACAACCCGCCGCACCCCCATCTCTCAGCGCCCCCGGGTGGGAGGCTGTGGCTCCGCGGCCTGCCGCCGTCTGCTGGAAGCCCTGGCCTGCTGAGTCCCTGGGGCTCACGTCCCCCAGGAGTCCCTGTGGGTGCGTCCTCCATGTCCGCCACCTCGCACCCCCGGTCTCTTCTTCAGAGCTCGTCCGGACTTTGTCAACTCTTTGGGTTCGATTGTGAAGCTTTGGGGAGGTCATGGGGGGAGCGAGAGGGGGCGCATAGCTGCTGGGTTCTAATTCAGAGAAGATTTGTTGAGTACCAAATATGTGTCCCGTGTGTAGGTGAGGGTGACTGTTGACTAGTGCACAAGGGGACCCGAGGCTCACGGCTGTCTTCTCACTGGCAGTGGAGCAATCTGTGACAACCTGCGACCCCTTCTCGTTAAATCTCTGGGGTAAGTGGCTAAACCCCTTCTTGGGGTATCACCAACTCAACTCACCTCACTTTCCACCCTCTGACTAAGTCTCTCTCCAGCTACTCCCATAACTGAATGAGAAGGGAGTGTGTGGGGGAAAGAATTCGAGCAAAAAGAAAACAAAACTGTGAAGGTGTAGAACTTATGGGAAACCTTTCTTGCTGTGTTAAATAATAAGAAACAGTGGATCCTTCCTTTACACTAAATTACCTTCCAGTTTTTTTCTATGTTTTGTTAGTCCCTTGAAGGTGCGGATATTGCGGCTCCAAACACATTAGAAAGCTGTTTGGCGTCTTTAACTTTTCACCTGCCGTTGTTCAACTTAGGAGGTCTTCCACAGGCGTCACGACTCTTGACAATACATTGAGCAAGTGCTACATTATGATGAATCAGTGTGGAAGCAACTTGTCATTAAACTGTAGGGAGAGGCCTGAGACGCATTCACTCACTGTTTTCACATTGGGTATAATGTTTTAAAGATTTATTTATTTTATTTGGAAAGGAAGATATATATAGAAGAGGTGAGACAGAGAGGAAGGTCTTTCCATCGATGATTCACTCCCCAAGTGACCGCAATGGCTAGAGCTGAGCCAATCTGAAGCCAGGAGCCAGGAGCTCTTCCAGGTCTCCCACGTGGGTGTAGGATCCCAAGGCTTTGGGCCGTCCTCGACCACCTTCCCAGACCACAAGCAGGGAGCTAGATGGGAAGCGGGGATGCCAGGATTAGAACTAGCGCCCATATGGGATCCCGGTGCATTCAAGACGAGGACTTTTACCACTATGCTATTGTGCCTTGCCTAAAGATTTATTTTTATTGGAAAGGCAGATATACAGAGAGAGAAGGCAAGACAGATAGAAAGACCTTCCATCCACTGGTTCACTCCTCAAATGGCCAGAGCAGGGCTTAGCTGATCCAAAGCCAGGAGCCAGGAGCCAGGAGCTTCTGGGTCTCCGCATGATTGCAGGGTCCCAAGGTTTTGGGCTGTCTTCTGCTGCTTACGCAGGCCACAGGCAGGGAGCTGGATTGGAAGTGGAGCATCTTGGACACAAACTGGCACACATATGGGAGCCCAGCATATTTCAGGTGAGGATTCAGCTGCTATGCTATTGTGCTGCTCCCTGCACCTAGTTTTTTTTTTTTTAATTAAAAAAATAAAAGATTTCTTCATTGTGAAGGTCTGAGAGGGAGAGAGAAAGATCAGTCTCTCTAAGATGGTTCGCCGGACAACAACAACCAGCACTTTGCCAGATGGCAGCCAAAGATTCATGTGGATCACATACATGAATGTTAGGGGCATAAACAATTGTACAACTTACACTGCCTTCCTAGGCCAAAATCTGGGAACTGGATCGGAAGTGGAATAGCCAGGACACAAACTGACAACCAATGGAATGATGGCGTCCCACCCCATAACTCCACCTGTCTATACTCGGCCCCAGAGTATGTTATTTTATTCAAGGTCAAGAATCAGCTGACCAAAGTTGAGTTCCACCACAGAAGCCTATTGTACCTATTGGAGGTGTAGGTACGAAGTCACGCTTGTGTTTTTTATTGCCCTGTCCTCTTTCTGATGTATGACTCAGTTCAAGGTGTCCATATTTGATTAACACTACATTGCATCAGACATGTCAAATTAAGGATGGGCTGGCCCAGTGGTACAGCAAGTTCAGTTGCTGCCTGTGGAACCAGCATTCCATATGAGTGGCAGTTTAAGTTCCTGCTGCACCAGTTCCAGAATAATTCAGGTACTTAGACCCTTGCACCCATATAGGAGGCCTGGAAATGGCTTCAAATTGGCCGAGCTCTGGCTTTTTCCATTTGGTGGGTTGAAACAGTGGGTGAAGGTCTGTCTCTTGCTCTGTCTATGTGTATATAACTCTGCCTTTCAAATAAGTAAAACTTATTTTTTGGGCCCGGAGGTGTGGCCTAGTGGCTAAAGTCCTCTCCTTGAATGCGCCCGGGATCCCATATGGGCGCCGGTTCTAATCCAGGCAGCTCCACTTCCCATCCAGCTCCCTAATTGTGGCCTGTGAAAGCATTCGAGGGCAGCCCAAACCCTTGGGACCCTGCACTCATGTGGGAAACCTGGAAGAAGTTCCTGGATCCTGGCTTCGGATCGGCATAGCATCGGCCATTGCGCTCGCTTGGAGTGTGAATCATCAGACAGAAGATCTTCCTCTTTGTATATCTGACTTTCCAATAAATAAATAAATCTTTAACCAAAAAAAAACCTTATTTTTTTAACATTTATTTATTTTTAATAGAAAACAGATATACAGAAAGATCTTCTTCAGGTTCACTGCCCAAGTGGCTACAACGGCCAAAACTAAGTCAATCTGAAGCCAGGAGCCCCCTCTATGTCTGCCACACATGTGCAGGGTTCCAGGACCCTGGGCCATCCCTATGAGGACACAAGGAAGGAGCTGGATGGGAAGAGGAGCAGCTGGGATATGAAATGGTGCCCATAAGGGATGTCGGTGTGAGCAAGGTTAGGACTTTAACCACAATAAGCTACTGAGTCAGGCCCAATAAATCTTTGAAAAAGTTTGATAAATGGAACTAATGTTTATTTTAGTGCAAAAATTTTGAAATACAAACCTGGCATGGTAGCCTAGCGGCTAAAGTCCTCACCTTGCATGGGCCAGGATCCCATATGAGCACCGGTTCATACCTCAGCACCCCGGCTTCCCATCCAACTCCCTGCTAGTGGCATGGGAAAGCAGTCGAGGATGTCTTAAAGCCTTGGGACCCTCTACCCCATGGGAGACCTGGAAGAGGTTCCAGGCTATTGGCTTCAGATTGGTGCAGCTCCAGCCGTTGTGGCCACTTGGGGAGTGAATCAATGATCGGAAGATCTTCCTCTCTGTCTCTCCTCCTCTGTGTGTGTCTGACTTTGTAATAAAAATAAAATAAAACTTTAAAAAATTATTTATTTATTTATTTATTTACTTATATTGGAAAGTCAGATTTACACACAAAAAGATCTTTCATTTCCTGATTTACTCCCTGAGTGGCTGCAGCAGCCAAAGCTGAGCTGATCCAAAGCCAGGAGCCAAGAGCTTTTTGTGGATTTCCAATGCTGATGCAGGGTCCCAAGGCTTTAGGCTGTCCTCAACTACTTTCTTAGGCCACAGGCAGGGAGCTGGATGGAGGAGGGGAGCCAGGGCATGAACTAACACCCATATCTGATTCTGGTGCTTGAATGGTGGAGGATTAGCCAATCAAGCCATTGCATCATGCCCGAAGCCAGCAGCTTTATCTGGGTCTTCATGTGAGTGCTGGGATCATGGTCTTGGGCCATCTTCTGCTGCTTTCATGGCACATTTGCTAGGACTTGAATTGGAAGTGGAGCAGCCAAGACTTGGAACAGATGCCCATATGGGATGCCAGCAGTGCAAGTCTTGGCTTAACTCGCTGTGATATAACATGGGCCTCTGATTGACCATTTTAAGTATGTATATATGTACTTACAAACATTAAGATAAATAAGTGCGTGTATATGTGTATGTATGTGTATATGCATCCTATGTATGTAA